TGGAAGTCAGGGTGCTGCTCAGCACCCTGTAGGCCCCCGCTCGCCACCCTGGAGAGAGCTGTGCAGTGTCCGCAGTGCCCAGGGGGCCCTTGGCTTAGCGCATAGGCTTTGGCGTGCCAGGGGGCCCCACACGGCTGCATGTGGTGCACTTAGGAGAGCGAGGCCTCAGGCACGGCCACTGGGTGCACTGCGGGCAGCTCTGCTCGCCCTGGCCTGCATGGGCGCAGGACCTGGCCCAGCCACCCATAGCTGTGTATCAAGGCGTGTCAGCTCCTGGGCCACTGTGGACCTCTGTTTCTTCCTCAGCAGTTGGTTCTTAGCGTTCACAAAGTCTCAGTTGGCAGTGGGGGGGGTTGAGGTGCAGGTGGCCTTTGCCACGGAGGTGGGTGAAGCACCCGTCTGTGGGACCAGGTACCTCACCAAGGCCGGGAGCCCTGAGTCTGCCTCCACCCGCTTCTGGAGACAGGAGCCCGAGGGTCTGACAGTGCGTGTTGGGGAGGTCTGTGGCGCCTGGCCTCGGGCGGTGCTTTTGCAGCTGGGGCGCACTTGTCTTTCGAGGTGGGGTCCACACAGCGCGAGCTCGTCTTCACCAAGTGTGAGCTCAGTTCGTAACACACTCAAGTGCCGTGCGGCCACCATCTCTAGCTCCAGAACATTCCATCACCCCAAAAGGAGGAAGTCCGTCCCCACAGGCAGTGGCCTGTCCCCTCCCATCTCTAGACCCTGCAGTCCTGGGCGTGTTCTGGCCGAGGAGTCTCTGTGGCCTGCTCTCACAAGGTCCCCCTGCGGCTGACCCTGGAGGCAGCCCGCCCTGTCCCGCCGATCCTGGGCTGGGCCGCGCCCTGAGCCCAGGGCTTGTTCTGGGAGCTCTGGGCACAGAACCGTCCCGCTGCCTCGGCCCCGGGCCTGGGGACCCAGCCAACTGCTGCTCGCTTGCTGGTGTCCCGTGGGCTCCGCGGGCAGTTCTGCTGCGGGTCTCGCCTGGCGGCGTGGTCGGCAGAGCATGAACTCCAAGGGGGCTTCGCTCATGTGTCCTGTGCCCCAGGGGTGGCCGGGGCTCTGGTGCGGCTTTGCCCACTCTGCCCGCATGGCCTCGCAGGGAGCCCTGAGGACACACACCTTCCTCGCTGCCCCCTTCCCCGTGTCACAGCAGGGGCCGTCGGGTGGCCAGCAGCCCTTGTCGTCCTCCCCAGCTCTCGCCCGTGCCGGAGCCCCTGCCTGGCCTGGCCTGGCCTCCCGGCAGTCTCCAGAGCAGGAGGCCAAAGGACACGTCACCCAGCACATGGGGAAGTGACCTGCTCCCTGAGCCCGTGGGGTCCTGGGTCCCCACCCGTCCTACCTGCTTCTGCTGCTCGGGCAGCCTCAGCCCTCTGCACGGCGTGTGCCGGGCGGCAGGGAGGGGGACGAGGGACCGTTTGGAGAGGTGGGGACGTGGGGCCTCTGGGGTGACTTGTGAGCAGGTCTGAGCAGGGAAGCAATCCCCGAGGGCAGCTGAGGGTGCAGCCGAAGGAGGCCCGGGGAGGAGCCGTGGGCTGGAGCAGGGGGGCAGAGCTGGAGGGGCTGGCTGGGCTTGTCCAGGGCAGGGTGGGCGTCCCCTCCTGCTGCGCCTGCCCACCTCGCAGGCCGCCCCTTTCATGGAGCTGGTCTCCCTGCCCCTGTCCGGCCGTCCAGCCCCGGCTCCCCACAGCTGCGGCTGTGGCCGGGATCAGCAGGTGTCTTGGGGGTGTGGACTGAGTGACCTCCTGCCCCCCTGCTCTGGGCCTCCCGGGCGGGCGCGGCCGCTGACAGAGCCCCCCTGCGGGCCCTGTGCCCTGCCCACCTCCTCCCCTTCCTTCTGCCCTCAAGGCCCCTCGGCCCCCCCGGGCCTGGGTCCAATGACGAGCTCACCCTGGCCCTGCCGACCTGGCCGGCCTCCCTGGGGTGCCGGGAGGTGGCCCATCCCGCTGCTCTCGGCCTCAGGTTCCAGCTGAGGCCTGCTGTGCCAAGAGGCGACATCTGTTCATCCGTCAGTCAGTCAACGGTCAGACCAGCCGGGGAACCAGGAAGGGGCCGTGGGACGGGGCAGGGGGATGGCAGGACGGAGGCCAAGGCCAGGCAGAGGTTGAGAGGGTCAGGAGAGACTGAGGCAAGAGGGCCTCGTGCCCATCCGGCAGGAGGTGGGGTGGCTGGCGGTCCCCTGCAGGCCTGGTCAGCCCTGGCGCCAGTGCTCCTGGTGGACAGGGCGGAGCAGGGGGTCAGGGCTGGGCGGCACAGGGTCCTCGCTGGCCCTCAGGTGGGGAGCCCAGGAGGAAGGGGACCAATCTTCAGCCCAAGCCTAGCTGTCCTGGGGGGACGCCATAGCCCAGCCCCACGTGGGCACAGCCGCCTGTAGCTTCTGCGACTACTTTTAAAACTTGATTTCCTCAGAAACAGCTGGGGGGCTGGGAGGAGCCCCGCAGGACAGTGCCCCAAGCTGCGCCGCTGCCCCCCAGTCTTCTCTGCCCCTCGGCCCTGCCCGCCGCGGCCTTCCTGGACCTCCTGGTCCCCGTCACCCTGGGCCCTCGGCCAGGGCTGTCCTCGGGCGGTCGGGCCGTGCTGCGGCTGGCACCTCTGCCAGGCGTGGGGGTGCTGGGCTCCCTGCGTCTCCTCCCAGGGCTGTGGCCCCTCTGTGTTGGGAGGTGGCGGTGCAGAGCCCAGGCTGGGCTGGCCCAGAGGCCCCGGTGGCCCTCACCCCACCGCAGCCCGCGGCATCCTGCCCTCTGCCTTCCTCCCGTGCCCAGAGGCCCTTGGGAATTGTGCGGTGAGCTGCCTGCTGAGCACCCTGTCCCCTCAGCACCTTCCGCCAGCACCAGCTTGGGGTGGCCACCTCCCAGGGATGTCCCTCAGCCAGGAGGGCAGTCTGCTGTGTGGCTTCCTCAGAGGGGTGCCCACGGGGGGCCGAGCTCTAGCCCTGGCCTCCCCCAGCCTGGACGTCTGCGTGGCCCGGCGGCCCCTCACTTGCGGCCATTTACGCTGTAGCTGAACCCCTCGTGGCCCCACCCGGCTCTGGGCCGTGCCCCACCAACACTGCCACCTGCACCGCTTGGTGGTGCCCGGGGCAGGACTGGGCCCCGGGGATGCCGTACGGGTGACCACAGACGGGCGTCAGGACAGCGGGAGTCCCTTCTCTCGGTTCTGGAGGCCGGAAGGCTAGCCCCGAGCTGTGGGCAGGGCCGGCCCTCAGGGGTCAGAGCGGGAACCTGCCCAGGTCCCTCCTGACGTCGGACGGTGGCATTGAGTGTGTTCCTCGTGCGTCACCGTCCTGCCTCCGCCTTCCTGTGTCGTCCTCCATGAGCATCTGCGTCTGTCACTTCTCCCTGGGGACGGTCGTGGGCCACCCGGCACAGCTTCTTCCAGCTGGTCATAGCTGCTGACCCCATTCCCAGCACGGTCACCTTCTGGGGGTTCCTGGGGCACAGGACGCGGAGCCCTGGTGTGCCCAGGCCGCGCAGAGCCTGCCAGCTGCCCATGCTCACGGGACCCCCAGGCCAGCGTCAGGGTCCCTGTCGAGGCTCGCAGAGCCTGCCCTGCCCCCCGGCACCGCCCGGACAGAACCGTGCCCCCACCGACCCTGTCAGGTCCCCTTTGACACATACGGGGCTGTGGCCAGCAAGGGCAGGGTGCACGGCGGGCCTTCTGTGTGCCCAGCCAGGGCAGGGCACTGACCGGCTGAGGACGCACATGACCAGGGTCACTCTGGGTGTGGAAACAGGTGTGCAAGGGTTGGAGGCTCTGCAGGGACAGGCCAGCCCAAGAGGGCCAGCAGGGCAGCGCTGACCTGTGTCCCCAGTGTCCCTCCTCCTTCAGGACCCTGGGCAGGTCAGTCCCACACCCCAGGCCCAGGCCCCTCCTCTGTTCTCCACGCTGCCCGCCTGCCAGGCCTTGATGAGTTGGGAGGGCCTGGGGCTGAAGCCCACTCCTCGTGCCCTGGTCCCGCCTCCCCACAGGTGGTCATCGCCCCAGTGGGAAGAGTGTGCCTGCTCCCCGGAGGGCTTCGGGGAGGGGCTGTGTCTACTTGAGGCCTGTCCCAGCACTTGGTCCTGGTCAGATCCTCTCGCCTCCTTGACCATCAGTCTCCTCTTCTCAGAAGGGAGAGTTGGGAGGTCCACTCGAGTGTCCTTGGAGGAGTCCAGGCCAGGTTGTGGTCCGTGGCCTGTGCGCCGGGCCCTGGGTTCCACCCGCAGCGGCTAGCCGGTGCCTCAGGGTGAAGGCGCCACCTTCTGGTCCTGCAGCCCCTCCGCCCTGAGCCCTGGCGGACACTGCCTGGTGGCACTCCCGCACCCCCTCCTGCCCGGAGTGCCTTGCCCTGGGGCACAGACTGGCCAGGGTGGCCTCCTCTGCAGCCAGAGGCTGCCAGGGAACAGGGCAGGATGGAGGTCCCTGGCCCTTCCTGTGCCCGCTCCCTTCTGCCTGCAGGGGCTGTCTGTGCTCAGCCCAGGGGCCCGGCCAGTTCCCACTGACCACAGCTCCCCGACTGCTGTCCTGGCCCTGGGGACCTGGCTGTGGGCTGAGCTCCCTTCTGTCACTTGATTTCCCTGTGACACCCGGGACCCAGCGTCTCAGCAGTGGTGGGTCAGGTGTGTGCATAGGCCCCACACGACCAGGGTGACACCAGTGCAGCCAGGTCCCCATGCTGCCCGAGGCTGACAGTCTCCCAGCCTGTGCCACCTCTCACCTGCTCTGGGACCCCAGCCCCCAGTCCAGGGTGACGGTCCAGTCCTCATGGCCTGCACACGGCCCGCGGCTTGCGTCTCCCTGACGTTGGCCCCTGTGGGTCTTCTAGGGTCCAGGAGCCCAGCAAGGGTCAGCCTGGCGGGGGCTCCTGCTGACAGTGGAATGGCTTGGGGGCAATTCTTGATGATGGGATGGCCAGGGAGGGGTCCTGGTGACAGTGTGGGATGACTGGGGACAGGGGGTGGCTCCTGGTACAGTGGCAAAATGGCGGGGCATCTGCAGGCTGAATGGCGCTCTTCTCCCCTCAGGCTCGGCGCACAAGAAGTCGGGCTCGTCCGAGGTGAGTTCTCCTGGGGGTGAAGAGGCAGGGCGGGGCCGTGGTCCTGGGGAGGCTCACTGTCCAGGCCGGGCGCCGTGGCAGGCAGGTGAGCACAGACTGTGGGCAGTGATCCCGCGTCTGCCCTGCAGTGTGGAGCAGGGACGCGCCCCGCAGGTGGCCAGGAGGGTCTGCCAGGCTGAGCAAGGCGGCCGAGGCCGGGCCTGGACCCCCTGAGCTGCATCTTGGTCTGGGCGCTGCCACGAGTCCTGGGGAGGCCCGCGGGAGTCGTCCTCCCCAGTGTCTGTCCCTTTGCGCCCTGCCCCAGCTGCCCACCCCTCTGTCCCCTCCTGGAGCCTCCCAAGTGTCCTGGATTTCAGCCAGCGGTCCAACTACCTCCATCTACGCTGTCAGTGTCGGGAAGCCGTGTCCTGGGCAGCAGGGAGAGCCAGGCCTACTTCCCAGGAGGCCCAGGTGCTGCCCTGACAGCTGGGCAGCAGAGCCCATGTGGCCACCGTGTGTCCACCTGGGCCGCCCCGCTCTCCGGCCCTTGGTCCCTGACAACCCCCCGGGGGCAGGGGGAGCTCTTCCACCTGGCCAGGGTCCCCTGCTACACGTTCGACTTTGGGTGTGGCCCCTGGGCACCTCCAGGGCCAGTAGGGCCATCTGGAGGAGTGACATGGTGTGGGCACAGTGCCCTGGGGACTCGGGTGTCCATCCCTGGAGAGCCGCCCCCTGGTGGCCAGCAGGGAGAACCCGCTGAGCAGGGCTGGGTGGAGGCCAGGCACCCGAGGACCAGGTAGAGGTGGACGGGCTCCCTGAGTGGCACAGGATCGGCACTGGTTCGAGGTCAGTGATGGCCAGAGAGGCCATGACCCGTCTCTGCCCCTCCTCCCCGCTGGCTGTGTCCCTGCAGGCTCCCCAGAACAGCAGGGAGTCCTGAGGGGTCAGTGCCTCGTGCCCACCTGCTGGGACAGCCCTGGCCCCGCAAGCCTGTACAGCCCGGCCTGCTCCCCACGCGGGGCCTGCTCCAGAGGCGCTGCCCCGTGATACGCGGCTCTCCTGAAGCAGGAGCTCCCGGCCTGGAGCCGCCAGGGGCCGGGCAGTGCCGCCCAAGACCTCCCCGTCCCCGTCCCCCGGGGCTGCCCGACCTGCCAGCTTGCCTCCAGCGGCCCCAGGCCCTGATGCTGGTGTGAGCACTTGCAGTGTCCAGAGCTGGGCACTGTGGGCCCCTGGACGGGCCTCCTGCTCTGCCTGGAGCCCACCGTGTCCCCAGGCCCCACCTGGCCTGGGCCCGGGCTCCCATAGGCACAGTAACAGGCCCCTCGCCAGGGCTTGCAGAGCACAGGCCGCCTCGTCCACTCAACTCCTGTTTCGTTGTCCCCAGGCCCCATCAGTGACAGGACAGCCCGGCCCTGGCCACGGGAAGAAGCTGGGTCATCGAGGCGTAGACGCATCTGGAGAGACCACCTACAAGAAGGTTCGTTCCTACTCTTTGTGGTGGGCTGGCTGGGGACATGCAGTGCCCAAGGCCGTCTGTGTCCACTCTGGCACACGGGTCAGGTGTGGGTGTGGTACCAGGGTGCGGCCCTGGGAACGGCTGGGCCTGAGGGAGGCCCTGTGTGCGCTGTCCTGTCAGGTGACCTGCAGACCTGGGACGGGCGTGTGGGTCTGGACCAGGGGTGACTGGGCTTGGACTGCAGGGGACACAGAGTGACGAGCCATGTGCCGCTCCCTGTGTGGCCTTGGCTGGCACATGGCAGCCCAGGAGGGAACCCGAGGCCCACAGTTGGCACTGCCCACCTGCCGTCAGAGCCACAGAGGACACGCAGCCGGGCATCACTAAGCCGTGCCCTGAGGCAGTCCTGGTGGGGCGCAGTGGCCCTGCCTGTCGTCCCAGCAACTGGGCAGGTAGCACGGAGGAGATGGCAGGCGGGAGCCCGGCCTCAGTGACTTGGCCAGACCCTGCGTCAGAACGGGACAGGGCTGCGTGTGGCTCAGCGGTGGACCCTGGGTCCAGCCCACCAGTGCAAGACAGGAGAGCGCCAGGGCAGGCGGGCTGGGGTGGCTCTGGGGGGCAGGGGCCGGCGCCTGCCTGGCTCTGTGCAGGCCTGGGCTCCATCCGGCACTAACCTGTGGCCGTGGAGGGAGCCCCGCGGAGCCAGGACAGCCTGGGCTGGCGTCGGGCTCCCTGGACCCCAGCCGGCAGCAGAGTCTCGATGCACTGTGTCTCCGCAGACCACCTCCTCCACCCTGAAGGGGGCCATCCAGCTGGGCATCGGCTACACCGTGGGCAACCTGAGCTCCAAGCCCGAGCGGGATGTGCTCATGCAGGACTTCTACGTGGTGGAGAGCATCTTCTTCCCCAGGTGGGCTGGCCCGGGGCCGGGGCCTGGGGCTCTCCTGGCACTCAGATGCGGCCCTGACTCGATGCCCCCACCCCCAAGACAGCAGCAGGCTCTCTGGGCATCCCGCGGCCTTGAGTGCGGCCCGCCCGTAGCCAGGATGCGGCTGCTGCTGGACCACGGGCCTGGCGCGGTGGCTTTTTAAGCTAGGATGGTGGTGCTCGGGAGGCCCGGCAGAGCCTCGCCTGGCATGCGCAAGGCCGTGGGTCCAGCCCCAGCACCACAAATAAGGAAAAGTGGAAGCCTGATTCTCTTCCACCTAAAGGTGCCTGTAGGCCATCCCTGGGGCTGGTCAGGAGGTTCCATGGCGTTGGAGGCCATGGGCTCCTTGTAGTCGCTGTGCCCTGCCATCCTCCACGTGTGGTTTCTGTAAACAGCAATTTCTGGGTGGCTGCCCAAGCTCCTGCCATCATGTCTGCATTCCAGCAGCAGGAGGGACAAGAGGAAAAGGGCCCATCAGTAAATGGCACACATCCTTCTGTGCTCCCCTCCTGTCCCCCTGGCCAAGTAGTCACATGGCCATGCCCAGCTGCAAGAGACGGGGGGTGGTGTGGCCTTACCCATCCTGGCAGCCACATGCTCAGGAGCATGGTGGGCTCCATGGCTAATGAGGAGGGGGCAGCCTGAGACTGGCCACAGCGACTCTGTCCCAGCAGGAGCCCTGTGGCACTGGCAGGATTGGGTGTTCGGACATGTGGGGAAAGGCGCCCCGAAAGCCACCGGCCCTCACAGTCCCCTGCGTCCCTCTCTACAGTGAAGGCAGCAACCTCACCCCCGCCCACCACTTCCAGGACTTCCGGTTCAAGACCTACGCGCCCGTGGCCTTCCGCTACTTCCGGGAGCTCTTTGGGATCCGGCCTGACGACTACTTGGTGAGTGGGAGCCGCCCAGGGCCTGGCCAGCCGCAGGTGGGCCGGGGCCGTCCAGCTAGAGCCTGCCAGGAAGGACGCCCGAGCTCACCACGTGGGACCGTCTGCCAGCGGACAGACATTGTGGACCCTGGTCTCGTGGCCCGGCTGCCGTGCCCACGTGGGCCCCGGCCCCTCGGGCAGAGCTGACGCACCGCTCAGCTGCAGCAAGCCTGGGAACAGGTCCCGGCCTGTGCCTCGCAGGGCTGTGCGCCGCCCTCTCTGGGCGCCTCCCTCCGCCGGAGGAGGCCAGCGGTGTCCCTGTCTTGCAGTACTCCCTGTGCAACGAGCCACTCATTGAGCTGTCCAACCCGGGCGCCAGCGGCTCCCTGTTCTACGTCACCAGTGACGACGAGTTCATCATCAAGACTGTCATGCACAAGGAGGCCGAGTTCCTGCAGAAGCTGCTGCCCGGCTACTACATGGTGCGCGGCCTGCGTAGCCCCCGCCCCGCCCCGCCCCTGAGGCCCCTTCACCTGCAGCTGCAGGCCCCACTGGCTGTCCCCAGGCAGGGGCAGGGAGGACACTTGCTGCCACTTGCCCCCAGCCCCCAGGAGTCCTGGGTCCCAGAAATCCTGTCCCTGAGCAACAGTGTCTCTGGGCTGCCCCCCAGGGCCAAGCGATGGTGACTCAGGCAGGGGGAGGGGACAGCCTCCAGCCGGTGCCTCACCAAGGAACAGCTGTTGGGTGGGTGTGGGGTGGGCTCCATCTGCCTCTCGGCCCCTCATGACTCACACAGAAAGGGCTCGGCCCCTGGGTGGGAGAGGGCAGGATGGAGCCATGGCCCCAGATGCGGGTGCAGGGTGGGCGTCCCCTCCCCTGCGGAGCCCAGTGCCGGGCACGGGGACTGCCCTGGCCGCTCGGTCCAGCCTGTGCTCGGTGCCCTGCTGGGTCCTCCTCTGTTGGGACGCTCAGGGGAGCGCTGGGCTCTCCTCAGCGGGGTCACCACCTCGGACTGTGAAGGACCAGTTTGTTTTTGCCTCGAGAGCCAGGCCTGGTGGGACAGGCCCGGGGCCCGGCCAGGGGCTTCACGACGAGGGCCCTCTCCTGGGACCCGGGGGCTGCGGGAGGCAGTGGTTCAGAGGCTCCGCTGATGCCGCCACCACCCTCGTCTGGCAGAACCTGAACCAGAACCCGCGGACGCTGCTGCCCAAGTTCTACGGGCTGTACTGCGTGCAGTCGGGGGGCAAGAACATCCGCGTGGTGGTCATGAACAACGTGCTGCCGCGCGTGGTCAAGATGCACCTCAAGTTCGACCTCAAGGGCTCCACATACAAGCGGCGGGCCAGCAGGAAGGAGAAGGAGAAGAGCGCGCCCACCTACAAGGACCTGGACTTCATGCAGGACATGCCCGAGGGGCTGCTGCTGGACACTGACACCTTCAGCGCCCTGGTCAAGACGCTGCAGCGGGACTGCTTGGTGAGGCTGCCCCGTCCACCGCCAGCTCATCCCCGCAGGGCCCCGGGCCCCGCATCAGGGTGCCCTGGCCATAAGCCCAGGCTGCCCGCCAGGAGCCCTCTGGTCCCCTGCCCATCAGATGGGGCGTGCTGCATGCACCGCGGGCTGCAGTGTCCAGGTGGCGAGCCCGCACCCTACGGAGCCTGCACAGGCTGTCAGTGGAAAGAGCCGCACGTGGCTCCTGCTGTGTCCTGTGGCCTTGGCCAGGCGCCCCGGCACCCCAGGCCGCCTCCTCCTCAGAGCCGAGGAGCGGAGGCCCCGGCCTTCAGGAGCGAGCCTGGGTTGTGGTCCCAGCCTGACTGACCACACCCGGCTCCCAGACCCCTCCCAGAATGCAGCCAGACCCTCCGGAGCCTGGCGGCTCCCCGCCATCCCCACGTCCTGGGCATCCCTGGCCCAGGTCCCCGCTGTCCCCACGTCCTGGGCGTCCGTGGCCCGGCTCCCCGCTGTCCCCACGTCCTGGGCGTCCTCCCTGCCGTCCCCACGTCCTGGGCGTCCCTGGCCCGGCTTCCCACTCCAGAGCGAGCTCGCCCTCACCTGGGCACAGGACTGTTGCCCGGGCCTGGGCCGACCCCTTGTCCCTGGGGGGACGATAGGCCTCGGGTGGCTGGGGTCCCTACTGGGCCTGCGTCCGGCCGGTCCAGCACCCTGTCCCTGCCAGGTGCTGGAGAGCTTCAAGATCATGGATTACAGCCTGCTGCTCGGCGTGCACAACATCGACCAGCAGGAGCGGGAGCGGCAGGCCGAGGGCGCCCAGGGCAGCACGGACGAGAAGCGGCCCGTGGGCCAGAAGGCGCTGTACTCCACAGCCATGGAGTCCATCCAGGGCGGGGCTGCCCGCGGCGAGGCCATCGAGACCGATGACACGTAGGTGGTGTGCAGGCCAGCGCTGTCCCCTCCATCTGGTCCTCGTCTGCACTGGTGCCCATGGGAGGGTGGTGACGGTGCCCATGTGTGGACAGAGCATCCAGAGACACCTTGCCGGTGGCATGGGATATGGTGCCCACCTCTGGGGCATTAGGGAAGTGACATGCCATGGTTCTGGGCCCTGGAACTCAGTGACAGGGGCACTCTAGGTGACAGGTGGAGGCAGCTGGCTGGGGCCAGGGCCAAGATGCGACCAGGCACGATGCCCTGGGGCGGGCACAGCCCTAGGCCACCGCCGTGGTGGGAACTTGGCAGCAGTCTGGGCCAGCTGGGCGGCTGCAGGTGCACAGCCCGGCACAGCTGCACCCTGAGCCCGTGTCTTGGCGTTTTAGGGTCTGCGGGGCCGGCAGGGAGCAGGTGAGCTGAGTCTGCCTGGGGTGACCTGCGTGACAGCCCTTGGGCTGCCTGGGGCCTGGGGCTGTGGCAGCTTTGGGGCAGCTCACCCACGTGACCTCACTAACTGCACCCCGCAGGGCGCGGGTGTGGCCGAGCGTAGACTAACGCGGCCGCAGAGTGTGGGGTGCATGTGCCTGTGCCCAGCCTGCGCCTCGAGCCCAGGACCTGGGCAGCACCCCACTCCCAGTGTGGAGTTGGAGCAGGACCCTGGGGGCCACCCAGGCGCTGCGGGATGGGTGTCCTATGCTGGGCCCCACCCCAGCTGCCATGTGGGAGCAGAAGGCCAACCCTGCCATTGACTGTGCGCCCCCCCACCAGGATGGGCGGCATCCCTGCCGTGAATGGCCGCGGGGAGCGGCTGCTGCTGCACGTGGGCATCATCGACATCCTGCAGTCCTACAGGTGCCCGGCCACCCGCCTCCGGAGCCCTGGGAGGAAGAGCCTGGGGGGCCCTGAGGGAGGCTGGGGGGACAGCCTGGGGGATCCTGAGGGAGGCTGGGGGCCCTCCTGGAGGCTGACCTGCCCGTCCCTCTCCTGCAGGTTCATCAAGAAGCTGGAGCACACCTGGAAGGCCCTGGTTCACGATGGGGTGCGTTGCTTGCTGCTGCTTTTTGCCCATCAGCACACGAAAGCCCTGACCATCCCCTAGGCCTAGGTCAGGAGAAGCACAGGCAGCCACCCAGGGAGGGGACCGCAGGACCCACACTGAGCAGGAAGGGGTCCTCGGGACAGCTGATCCATAAGTCAGTGTCCGGCCAGTCTGGTGTGCGGAGTCCTGCTCTGGGGGCCGAGGGCAGCATGGCTCTGCTCTGATCCCCACCGTCCCACACGCGTCTTCCCGTGCGCACCGGTCGGGTTGTCACATGAAGTGCACCGGGGCAAGTGCGCGGGGCCTGAGACCCCGTCTGCCCCGCAAGCGGCAGCTCCAGTGTCCTTGAGGACTGAGACGCACTGCGGTCTTGTGGGTGGCGGACTCCTCCTGCAGCCCCCCGCTCAGGCAGTTCTGACCAGCGTAGGCAGTCTGCCCAGTTGAATGCCCAGAGGAATGCTGGAAGCATCCAGAAGCAGAAACTTCCAGAACACGCACCAAGCAGGTCAGGGTGGCAGGGCGTGGCACAGCAGCAGGGCTGTGGGTGTCGTGAGCCTCGCCGGCTGGGTCGCCTGTCCCTGATGGGTCAAGCCATCTGGTCCTGCTCGGCCAGCCAGGTCTTCCCTCTGCTGCTGCTCCACACCCCTGGCACTGTCCTTGTCCCCAGGCCCAGGTGGGCCACATCCTCACTGCAGCCAGAGGAAGGGCACCGGGGCTGGGCAGGGCCAGGGGGCTTCACAGCACTGGCTCGTGCCCCAGGGCCGGGACGTGATCCCATCCCAGGGATGTGATCCCATGCCACCTCAGCCAGGGAGGCTGTAGGCCATGTCACATCACAGCCATGGGGACATTTGTGGCTGGGAAGCTGCTGGCCCAGATTGGGTGGGGGCGGGGACACTGTTTCTCACCCTCTGGCTGCAGGATGGCCCCTCCCCACCCAAGACTGGTGCCCTGCCAAGTTTGAGAAGGGTGCTGGGGACCAACCGTGTGCCAGGCTCCCTGCCTGCTGTAACCTGCTGTGTGCTGTGGCCATGGCCCTGTGGTCTGCCCAGTACCGAGGACCACAGCTGGTCCACAGCTGCACCACTCTGCGACTGGGCACAAAAACAGCCAGAGACACCTGTGCGTGGGGCGATATCTGCCAAGCAGGCGTCGGCCAGGCCCCGCCCCCGTTTCCGGGTCCCGCAGGTCTCTGGGTGCTGCCTCACCATGTCGGACCTCTGTCTGCAACGGGGGACCCCCTTCCCTGCCACCGTTTCCCGCGGGAGCTGCTCCCTGTTCCTGGGATCCCCTCTCTGAAAGCCACGGCACATTTTAAGGAGAGTGCCCCTTGCCCCAGTGTCTCACGGGAAACCTGACCCCGGGGTGCGCTTCCCTCCCAGGACACGGTGTCCGTCCACCGCCCCAGCTTCTACGCAGAGCGCTTCTTCAAGTTCATGAGCAACACCGTCTTTCGGAAGAACTCCTGTGAGCTGCCTGCACCCCTGGGGGAGGGACTCTGAGGAGAGCGGGGCTGGGAAGGGGGACAGTGACCACAAAGCCCTTTGACCTGCCCCAGGCCAGGGACCTCCTTCAAAGCCCAGGGGCTAAGTCCCTGTTCACTGCTGTCCTGGAGGCCACTGGCCCAGAGGCTGAAACCCACCTTGGGCACATCGGGCACATCGGGCTGGGTGGGGAGTGAAGGCTCCCCGAGGCCCCGCCCCCGACAGTGGGGACTGGGGTAGAGCCCTGCTGTGGCTCAGCTGATTGCAGCAGCTGCTGTGCTCTTTGTGGCCCCCACCCCAGGGGACAGTCCTGGTGCTGGGTCCCCAGGAGTCTGAGAGAAGCAGAGTGGGTTCAGCAGGAGGTACCCAGCCTCCCTGGCACCTCCTGTGGAGGAGCGTCCCTGGCCTGGAGGGACAGGCAGGCAGAGGCAGGTCAGACTGGAGGCCAGGCAGGGATCCTGGGGCAGCTGGTGCCGAGGAATGGACACTGTCGTGCCGTGGGCAGTGGCTCCCAGCACAGGTGCCCTCCCTCCCTCCATCCCTCCCTCCCAGCCCTCAAGTCCTCACCTTCCAAGAAGGGCCGAGGTGCCTTGCTGGCCGTGAAGCCCCTGGGGCCCAGTGCCGCCTTCTCCGCCAGCCAGATCCCCAGTGAGCGGGAGGACGGGCAGTATGACCTGCGGGGCGCCCGCAGCTACCCCACGCTGGAGGATGAAGGTGACTGCCCGGCTGGGGCAGGGCTGGTTCCGTCTCCCAACCCCGGGGTCTATGGAGGGCAGACATATGGCAGACACGGGAGCCTGTCACCAGAGGAAGCACTCCATGGGGCAGGGCCTGCTGTTCCGTCCCTCCCTGCAGTCCCCACCTCAAGGATTCCAGGCAGGGAGGGGCAGGGCACAGAGCCCCGGGGGGGGGGGGGGGGGGGGGGAGGGGGGCGGCAGCCAGAGCCGTGGCACCACTGGGCCTTGGGCAGCTGCCCCCGGCTTCCTGCCTCTTGCAAGCTGCGGGGGCTGTTCCACCGTATCCGGCCAGAGGCCAGGTCGGGAGATGGAGGTGGGAGGTGGGGACGCGCGGCGGTGTGCCCAAGCAGGAGGTGCGCTCCACTGGCCACGAGGGTGGGGCAGCAGCTCCTCGAGGTGCCCACCGCCTTTTCCCACAGGCCGGCCTGACCTCCTGCCTTGCACGCCACCCTCTTTTGAGGAGGCCACCACAGCCTCCATCGCCACAACCCTGTCATCCACCTCCCTCTCCATCCCTGAGCGGTCCCCCTCAGAGTCATCGGAGCAGCCTCGGTACAGGTGGGCGTGGCATCCTGCCCTGGGGGCGGGGCTCCCTGTGGATGGGTGGGGCCATGGTGCAGGGGCGGGGCGGGGCGGTCCCCAACCCGAGCTCTGAAGGCCAAACTCAGCCCCCTCACCTGCTGCGGTCTCTCTGCAGGCGGCGCACGCAGTCCTCTGGACAGGATGGCCGGTGAGCCCCCAGCCCCGTACCCTGGTGCCCCAGCAACCCACTCCGATGCCAGCGACCTTTGCCCGCTCTGCTATTGGGGCGCAGAGAGGTTGTGCATGCTCATGCTCTGTGCCAGTGTGTGCTGCCCCTCCTGCAGCAGGGCAGGGACTGTTGGGCACCAGGATCACAGAGGAACCAGCCTCAGGCTGGGACTCCTCACGGGATGGCAGATGGGCACTGGCCTGGAAGGACGTGGTCGCTTCTGCCGTGGGAAGGGGGACGGCCTCAGCTCCTGTTGCCCACAGGCCCCAGCAGGAGCCGCACGTGGAGGAGGACCTGCAGCAGATCACGGTGCAGGTGGAGCCTGCGTGTGGCGTGGAGATGGCGCTCCCCAAGGAGGAGGACGCGGGGTGAGTGCAGCCGTGTGGGAGGAAGAGTGGCAGTGCCCAGGGGTGGCCACACGGTGACTCTTTTACTGGTTATGGATAGTGCCTTTATTTTAACTTCTTTGATTTGAGACACTGAGTCGCATGACTATACCCCTAGGGGACCCTGGGCAACGTCCCGGGCACATGCGGTATCCTGACCAGGGTGTCCTGGCTCAGCATCTGGCCCCCATGTCCACAGCGCCTAGGGGGCCCTGGATGAGTCTGAACATCCGAGGATCTGAAGATCTCTGTTTCCCTCTTTTCGTATTTGTTTCTAACTTTGTGAGGGTCGTGGTTTTTGTTGCTCTGGGCGGGGCTGGGACGGAGCTACCCCAGCACCCCCCCTGTGGGCCCGCCCTGCCGTTCTGTCTTAAGATGGGGCCTTGCTGGGTAGCTGCGCTGGCTTCTTCCTGCCCCGGCCTGAGTGGTGGGGCCCGCGGCGCGGCCCCTGCGCTGTCCGCACCTTCCTGGCTTTGCTCAGAGGCCTAGCAGCGCAGGCTGCCAGGCTGCGTCCCTGCTCCTGAGTGTGTTCACACCCGAGTCTCAGCCACTCCCATGCGGTAGTAGGGACCGCCTCAGCACACACCCAGGACAGTGTTAGCACCGCCACTCACAGCCGGAAACGATGCACCAGGCCCGGAGCCTCAGTGGGCACGACTTTGGAAGGCTTTGCCCTGGGCCTGGCATGGAGCACGCGAGCTCCGCGAAGAGGACACAGCAGTCCCCACCCCACGGGGGGGACACTGCTCAGAGAGGGCATGTGACCTCCCAGAGTGGCCGGCAGGTCACTGGCTCAGCAGCAGCACCACAGGCGTCTTGTCTGCCCGCAGGAGGTGGGCGTGCCTGGCAGTGTCGGCTTCAGGGTCCCTGCTCCCTCGCCGGGACGCGCAGCCGTTGACGCCCCTGCCGAGGCTCCTGAGATGGGGAGAGGCAGGGAGGACCTGGGTGAGGGCCCGGAGGGCTGGTGCTGCCCAGAACGGCCCAGGACCTTGCCTCTGCCCACGTCCTCAGGGTGGAGGCCTCCTTGGCCTGTGCATCTGCCACCACCGTGGAGGTGGAGACCGCCAGCCAGGCCTCGGAACCCGCCAGCCAGGCCTCGGACGAGGAGGACACGCCTGCTGCGGACATCTACTTCGTAAGTGCCCAGGCCATGGGCCCCGTGGAGGCCAGCTCCAGCCCCTGAGGTGTCCGTCACCACACGCTGCCCCGCGTGTGCACACACGTTCTCACCTCGGACGTGTGCACGCTGCCCTGTGCACTCTCGTCGCCGGCACACTTGGCGCACTCACGCACACAGGCGCTGTCCTGGCCACAGGCTGCTCGGTCGCGCCCACCTACCTTCCCAGCTCTCCCCTCCAGGGCTGCAGCCCTGCCCCAGGCCTCCAGGCTGGGCTCCAGGATCTGGGTGACCTCAGGTCCCCTCCTGGCCTCGTCACCACCACCTGATTGTGCCCTTTGACTCTCGGCCTTGCTGGGCCCACACTGAGACCCAGGCCGGGCGAGGCCCTGCGTCTGGACTGCTGGGACAGGCCCCGAGGCTTGTCCCCCTGGGTGGGGGCTAGGCCAGGTGCGCTCTGTCCTCCTGGAAAGCAGGAGGACCTCGTGCTGCCCGCGGGGCCAGGGACCGTGGTACCAGGCGCTGCCCCCACCCCACAGGTAGACCTAGTAGTGGGGCTGCGGTCCAGGCTGCTGGCCCCCCGGGGGGTCCTGGGTTCTCCACTCCACTCAGGGTCAGATTTTCTCAACTGCAACAGGAGAGGCCAGGGACGCCTGCCCTGCCTCTCCCGTCATTCTCTGGGGGACGGTCACCCAGGAGCTGGCCAGGCCGGCACTGCTTCCTCACTAACACGCCTCCTTGTCTCTGAGCCGAGCCTGCCAGGGCCCAAGACTCCCCCTCTGGCCCCGGAGAAGGATGGAGGGGCCTGGGCCGTCCCCCGCCTGCGCCGTCGCCCCACACACGGGCTGGTGTGTGTCCTGGTCTGCGTGGGGCCCATGGGGTGGTGTCTGCTGAAGGACTGTCTCCACGCTGGTGGGCCGCAGAGCGCTGCCGGCCCCTGCATGCCCCACTCCCGCTTGGCCGCTGGCTTGCCCGCCCTCCGCCCGCCTGGCTCCAGGACTCCCCGCCTCACCCTCTGCTCTCTTCCTCCTCCCTCTGGCCCATGGCCCGAGCAGTTCACCGATGGGAGGTACTGGATTTACTCTCCCCGCCATCGCCGACTGCGGGCCGTGATGCCGAGCCCCTCGGGGACTGTAAGTGACCGCAGCTGGCCCCTGGGGAGAGGGGCCTCGCCCACTTTGGGGCAGCAGGGAGCTGCAGGTCCCCGACAGAAACACGTCCTTTCTTTCCTCGGAGGATTTAGGAAAAGGGCAGGAGGTTGTGGCAGCCAGGCTTGCCCCCAGGGCGCCCTGCTGGGTGTGGGTCGTGGGAATGTCACCTAGTCCCAGATCAAGCGGGCACTGAAGAGAGTGCCTGTCTGCGGGTCTGTCCTGTGGGCCACAGGGGGTCCACTCCAACTCCGGCCTGCCTTGCCCCCCCCAGCCCTCTTGTCACGCGGTAGGTGGCCTCTTGTCACCACCCAGCCTCGCCGGTGAGGGCGGTTGGGGCCAGCAGGGCAGCTGCAGAACTGGCCCCTAACTGCAGCCCGTTGAAGTGTGCATCTCACAGGGGCAGAGGCCAGCTCCCCAGAGGGCCCACCACAGCTCAAGGCTCAGGTCCTAGACTCAGTGCTCACTGGTCACTAGGCACTCGCCCCCCACGTCTGGGATGCCACACAGATGTTAGGTAGCCAGGGTGTCACTGTCCCCGAGAGGCTGAGTCGCCCACTCAGAGCTGCACGGCACTTGCTCGGCCAGCTCAGGCGTAGACCTGAGAGCTCGTTCTGCAGCTGGAGCCCCTCGGGGCTGCCCAGCCCTGTCAGCAAACCCCCTGGGTGTGGCTGTGCACTGGGCCCGTCCTCTGCCCGGCAGTCTTGGTGTCCAGCTGAGCCAGCAGTGGTGAGCAGGGACGCCACACCCCTGAGTAAGCTGCCGCCCGAGGCTTCGGCTGGGGGCTGGATGCACCCAGCAGCCACGAGGGCCTCAGGGCCCTGGGTTTGGAGAGGTGGGAAAGGAAGGGGCTGGCAGGGGACATGGTGGAAGCAACAGGTGGCGGCTAGATGGTGGGGGGCACCCAGAGCTAGAGGAGCCGGAGGGACGGTCACCCGGGGTCCTGGCCACTTGGCCAGCTGGCAGCTGCAGGGCCCCTCTGTCCCACTTCTGGAGAATGGGAAGCTGGCTGCGCTGCCTTTCTAAGGTGGCCACCGAGTGTCTACTGCCAGGGACCCCTCCCAGGAGCAGCGTGGCCTGCAGGGCTTGGGGCTGCTGCCAGCCTCCCTCCCAGGGTTGGCCCTTCTGGGCCTTAGGTGGAGACCCTCCTCCGATCCCCGCTGCTGGACCCCAGCCGGTGCTGGTGGAGCTGGCGGCTCTGTCACCAGCCCAGTACCTGACACAGCTGTGGGGCCTGAGCTGGTTCCCAGGGCTGGAGGCGGCTCCAGAAGTCGGGGCCTTTGCAACTCCGTGGAGCCTGGAGGCCCCTACTGGGCCAGGCCACTGAGCAGGGGTCGCTGCCCACAGTTCCCAGCAGCCGGGGCAGTTCACATGGCAACGGGATCGGGCAGGAGTCGTAGTTGAGTGGGCAGAGGGGCCTTCTGGGTGGAGGGGGCCTCGCGGGGCCAGGTGGCGGGTGCAGGAGCCCTGGGGCAGAGCCAGAGCAGGTCAGGCCGGGTCAGCCAGCGCACTGGGCCACATGCTGGCGCCGGCCCTTGCCGTTCACAGACAAGGAAGCAGCAGGCCCTGGACAAGAGGGTGGGCAGGTCCCGGCAGTGATGGGCCTGGGGCAGCGTGTGGGCTGTGGCTGTGAGCTTAGGGGTCAGCCGGGGGACTGCCAGAGAGCACGGCCAGGTAGGCTCGTGTTTGGGGCTGGGAGCCGCCCAGAGGGTCCTGGAAGGCCAGGTGGCGAGGGAGGCCCTGGCGGGGAGGGAAGGAGAAGGCCCTAGAACATTGGAGCCAGGCCCCTGGAGCTGGAGCCGACTCTGCAGGGACAGGGATGGGCACCCTCCCTCCTCCAGACCCTTCCCCGACACAGCCAGGCCCGGGTGGCCCAGCAGAGGCCAGAGTGCAGCTCCGCCTGGCCCAGCCCTGGGCCTAGCTCACTGGGACCCATGCCCCTGAAGGGCATCCTTGTGCCCCAAGGAAAGTCCTGTGCCTGGGGCAGCCTGAGCTCGTGGGTGCCACCGATGTTCAGGTGCTGACCGTCCTCTGCATGGTCCAGAAACAGGTCGGCGCTCAGAGCGCCCAGGACCTTCCGTGAGGGTCCCCGGGACCCTGGTGCCTGTGGCAGGTGGGGGAGGCTGAGAGGAGCCCCTGCTAAGACAGAGGCCAGGCTGCACACGGCGCCCCCTCCTGTCCCCTGCTGTCTCGGCCACCTCAACTGAGCTCACCGCTTCCTGCTGTCTGCCCGTCTGCCACTCTCGCCCAGCTCCGCGGGTGGGGCAGAGCCCGGTGGAGAGGGCATCGGGCCTGGCGCCCCGCACCCTGCCCGGGCGCTGCCTCTTTTACTCTGTCTTTCTTCCTCTCCTGCCTGCCTCGCCCTGCCCTCCTGCGCCCCTGCACGCGCACCCGCCACCCGCAGCCCACCGACGAGAGGAGCTGGGTGTACTCCCCGCTTCACTATAGCGCGCAGGCCCAGCCCGCCCCCGATGGCGGCGGCGGCAGCGGCAACAACACAGTAAGTGGCCGGTGGCCGCCGGCCCAGGCCGAGCCCAGGCGGCCGAGAGGTCAGCTGGGGAAGCAGGCGGGCGGGAGGGTGCAGGCGGTCACTCTGCCTGGGTAAGTACCCGGCCTGGCAGCCCTGGCACCAGGCGTGGCCAGGTGGGGTAGGGCCCACTCAGGGGCCCGTGGGTGGCACGGGGCGGGCGGCCACAGCACCCCTCACCCGCCTCCGCTCTTGCAGTAATCTCTATGCAGCCCCCAACCTGGAGCCGAGCGCCCAGAGCGCCCACGCCGCGTGCTGCTCAGAGGCGTCGCCTCCCCCCCGAGGCCTGGGGCCCGGAGACCTGGCCCAACCTCATCCTCCTTCGTCCTCCGGGGACACTGATGGCCGAGCCCCTCCCCACCCCGACAGCTCTGGGCCACATGGCGACCTGGGGCGTGGCGCCTGGTAACCAGCTGCGCCCACAGGACGACGACCCCCAGAGCGTCACCGTGTATTTATTTTGGTCCTCACTCCGCACAGGACGGAAGCACCTGCGTGCTTTTTTAGAAAAAACAAACAAACAAACAAACAGGAAGAGATTCCAGCGTTGCTCTGCGGCCGCCTGCCGCTCCAGGGACCCGGCCCGGCTGCCCAGAGCCCACACTCCATCTCAGCCCAGCGGCCTGCGGAGGAGACCCGTGGCTGAGGGGGCAAAGGCCACCCCGTCCTCACCTGGAAGCCGGATCCCCCTCCCTCGGCCCAGGTGGGGGCCCTTGCGAGGCACGACATCCCTCGGCAGTGGCCTTCACACCTGTTTCCTGCCACTAGGAGGGACGGCCCGAGAATGGGCATCCAGCAAGAAGGTCGCAGCCCAGACCTGGCACTGGGAGCCCCCACAGCTGCTCCCTCCTGGCGGAGCCCAGGGCCAGGGGCGGGTAGAGGGGGACTGGCTGTCCCTGCCCAGCTCACTGGTGCCAGTGGAGAGGACCCCCTGGGGACACACCCCTTCAAAGCAGTGTCCAGCTTTGGGAGGAGAGGCGGCCAGACCTCCGGTCACTGGGCACCACAGCTGGCATCCCAGTGAGGGCCAGGCTGTGCTCAGGCCTGCGTGGCACATCAGGGCACATGTGCCCCAGGGGGGTGACCCTCTTCAGGGATGGCCATGCATGTTTCCACTTGTCATCTCCAGCAGGGACAACTGCTCCTAGGGGGACAGTGACCCCAGAGCCCCATGGGGCAGTCACCTGGGCCCCGCTGTGTCTAGAGGGGGCAGGTTGGAGCCACCACTGCCTCCCACAGGACCCCTGGAGGGGCTTGTTGGTGGCAGGGCCTCAGTGGGCACAGGGGGAGGGGACCTGCAGCAGAAGCCGCTCTGGCCTTTGCAGGGCAGAACGGCACAGGGACCAGTCCACCCAGGAACGTGAAAGCCTGTCCATCACCTCGCGCCTCCCTGGCCGCTGCTCAGGCCCTCCTGGTCTCCCCCTGCAGCAACGGCAGGGATCCGGTCATCTCACGACCCTCACCTGGTGGCTGATGCAGGGGCTCAGAGACCCCATCAGGAGGAGCCTATCTGGGGTCCCCAGTACCCGCCCGTCTCTGCCCAAGAAGGGTTTGTTTAGACAGAGCGTCCTTGGCCCTGTGTGCTGTCCCTGACAGTCCCTGCCCATCCTCGTGAAGGACACCCCGCAGACGCCTTGGGGATCGGGGCAGAGATCACAAGGGGCATTTAGGATCTGGATGACTCGCAGGCACAGCTGCGTGGTCACTGCACCTGGGTCCCCAGGGGGCTGGCACCAGGAACAGGAGCCTGTGGAGGTGGCCTGGAGCCGTGGGCACCACCCCTCGTGCAGCCAGTGCCATCCAGGGTGACTTGGCAAGACAGGGAGTGGCTGCTGCAGCCCCTTGGGCCTGGGTGATCAGAGGCCACGTGTGCTGGTGCGGCCACAGCAGGAGAGACTCAGAAGACCCCACGGACGTCATGGCAGTTCCATTTTTGTGTTAAGTGTCACAAAGAACCCCTTGGAGATCTATGTTGTGTAGTGTTTTTTTTTTTTCCTTTTGTGGACTGTCGAGCAGATGTTAAAGTGCCCCTCTGAGCTTGTCAAGAGCCATGTTTGCTTATGATTTGGGGAGCTGGGGGGAGCAAAGGCCTGTTTCTGATGGTGGGTACACTCCTGGCCTTCCTCAGACTCCCCGTGAGGAAGGCACCGGGCCCACCAGCCGCCTCCCCTCCCAGGAGATCTGTAAATACTGTCGTGATCTGCTGCCTGGCTTGGCCCTCTGATGGCTACTACTGCTCAGGCTGTGGCCGGTGTCCAGATGCAGCTGTGAATCATAAAGAACTCAGAGGCCGACAAGGTGGAGACTCCCACAAGTCCTCTTCCAGCCTCTGTCCCTTCTAAGCCATTCCAATGCGTCCCTGTGCACCCCCACACCTGGCTCAGTGCAATACTCCTGTCCCAATGGGGTCCCATGCCATGGTACTCTCGCCGCAGCCCCTCCTCGGTCCCCACCCCAGGACAACATCCCCCCTCTTTTTCTCTGGTGGTTGAAAACTGCGTCCCCTGACCCTGCCCCGTCTTGTTTTTATGGCCAAGCCAATTCCAAAACAACTGCAAACCTTGTGTGTCTTAACTGTCACCGGGGGTTCCTCGTCCTCAGCCCCTGTGGTCTGGTGTGTGACAATCCAGAGCATGGCTTCCCATGGCACTGACAAGGAGGCCGTGTCCCTCCAACCCAGAGTGCGGGGTGCCTCTGACAGTGCAGCTGCTGCTGGCCCCAGAGAGCACTTGTACGCAGCTCGGGCCCCACCCCCACCACTCCCCCCTTTTTATGTTGAGGATGTTCTAATAAATCGGGTATGAACATCGACCTGCCTCTGCTGCTGCTCTGTGGGTTCTGCGGTTTGGCTGGGGTTAGAGACCACTGAATGGCAGCCAAAGGACACGTCTGTGAGATTTTGACAACAGTAAGACCCACCTGTCATCCCACTGACCTCAGGCTGAGGCAGGAGGATCCCTTGGGCCCTGCCGTCTGGGGCCAGCCTGGCAACACAGTGAGACCCAAACAGGTGAACAGGTATGACCTCCTCTGCACTCCAGTTCTGCTCAGAGAACGTTTCCAAGGCTTCCTTTGTCATCCAGGAGTCCCAGCTCAAAGGAACAGACCCCCACCCCCAGAGTCTTCATTCCTTCTTCCAGAGTTGACCCAAGGAAGTGAAATATGGACCTCTGTGGGAGGAAGATGATTCTCTAAAATTGAGAAACTGCCCTGAAGGCAGGCCCTGGCTGTAAGCAAGCCCTGGGAATGCTGGTTGGTTGCAGAGGTGGACTTGGAAAGAGCAGGGCTCCTGTGAGATGGACACAGAGGTCTCTAGTTTTCTTCCTTGCCTCCGATAATAGCACGTACTGCTGAGGATGTCGCTTGGGTACAATGCCCCATATGTGCAAACCTGGGTCTGCAAACAAGAAGAAGATGGGCTCTCAGGGTCACATCTGCGTGTTTCTGAACCGGAGACCAGGGCTCCTCCCATTGGGCCCATCCTGTCATCCTCCCGTCCCATGGGCTTTGGCAGGACCACTATCAGGAGCAAGAGGAGCGGGTCCTGGGTTTCCTTTGGAGGAGCAGAGCACACACAGGAGTGTTGAGAGCACAACCAAGTCAAGATGGCGCCTGGCATTTTGCCAAAAGGAGTGGTTGAGGGGTAGCGCCAGCGAGCCATTAAGATGATGATGGTTGAGTTGAGCTGTGTACAATTATTGGGATGATGACTGATTGCTGTAACTGGATGATGCTAAATTGAAACAAGCTGTGTATTCAGTTGTGTATATAAACCTCTGCTGTCCGGCAATAAGGCGGCTCCTGCTACCTCGGGTGCCCGCTACTTTTGAATTCTCGCGGAGTTCCTGTTGAGTTCCCGTTGAGTTCTCGCGGGGTTCCCGTAGAGTTCCCGTTGAGTTCCCGTGGAGTTTGCGTGGGTTCTCAAATAAAGTTCGTTCCTGCTTGAATCTACAAGTGGCTCGTGACCTCCCGGTTACTAGTGCCCAGCCAGACTGCGGCATTTGGTGGCCCGTTCGAGGAATGCCTGAAGCTTGGGGATAAGTGAAACTGCTCACCCCTGAGGGCAGGGCGAGAGAATGGGTGACCATTTCAAAAAACAATGTGTTCTTGTTTTGATTTGTTTTGTTTTTGTTTCAAGCTGCCTGTCCCTAGGACTTTCTCAGGCAAACTGGGGAAAGTGTTTGGCTCAAGGTTTGAAGTTGTTCGCCCCTGAGGAAGAGATAGAGATAGACCACGGATATACATGTCAAGAAAATAGGAAAACTGATACAACAGATTTTTGTTCCGTTTTTGTTTTGCTTTGTTTCGGGTTTGTTTTGTTTTATCTTGTTGGTCTTTATAGCAAAAATATGGAATTAAAAATTAGTAAAAACCAAACCAAAAGGGTGTTAAGTAAATTGCTAGAGGAAGGAGGCATCTCAGTAAAATCAAGAACAGTTAGGGCATACGTTAAGACGATACAAAGGTGTAGCCCATGGTTCATTAAAGAGGGGTTGTTAAATATATCACAATGGAACCATCATGGTGAAGATTTAAAAAGGATAGAAAAGGAAAGCCCAGGAACTCTGCCAGTTGGCACATTACCATTGTGGACGTTGGTACAATCTTGTTTGCTTAGTCTAGGAGAAGACATCCTATATCAGGTAAAAGAGGAAGTCTCTTGAGTTAGTCAGACAGGGGAAGAAAGTTTAGAGGAGGAAGGGCCATCAGGAGAGAAGTTACAATGGGAGGTTGCTACTAACATCTTTCCATCACGAGGGCGTAAGTGTCCAACCAACAGCTACACCTAATGTATACGGAGACAATATATGCTGGGGGGCCCCCAACCCCCATAGTTGATAGATGGGATCCTGAGACAGGACCTCAAAGATTAGCATGCCCTGTAATTGAGACGGCAGGAGGGCAGTGAATTCACCGTGCTCTAGATTTCAAAACTATGAAGCAGTTAAAGGAGGCTGTAACAACCTATGGTCCTCAAGCACCCTTCACGGTAAGCATGGTCGAATCCATTACCAACTTGAACATGATGCCAGCAGATTGGACTAGTATGTGTAAAGCTGTGCTAAATGGAGGACAATACCTGTTATGGAAGGTTGCCAATGAGGAATTTTGCATGGAGATGGCTAGGTGAAATGCAGCAGCCAGTTATCCTCAGAGAAATCTAGATATGTTTTTAGGAGAGGGACCTTATGAGGATCAGCATCAACAAATTGCATATGATCCTGCCATATACTCACAAATTGCTGCAGATGCAGTTAGGGCATGGAAGACTTTACAGGGGCATGGAGATTTACAAGGTCAATTATCTAAGGTAATACAAGGAGCTAATGAACCTTACGCTAAATTTGTAGATAGGCTTATTCAAACAGCTACCAGAATCTTTGGGGATGTAGAACAAGCGATGCCATTAATAAAACAATTAGGCTACGAACAAGCAAATAGATGGTGCAGGGAAGCCATTAAAGCATGGAAACATGGAGATTTAAACACATATATTAAATTATGTAGAGACATTAATGAACAGGGGCAAGCCTTGGCAGCTGCAGTACAACAGGCTTTAGGTGCCAGGCCAAAAACATGCTACAATTGTGGACAAACAGGACATTTTAGAAGGAGTTGCCCCATAGGAGGAGGGTTTAACAAAACTGGATATGATCAGAGGGGTAGAATACCGGGTATTTGCCCACGATGCCATAGAGGGAGACATTAGGCTAATTAATGCTGTTCTCAAACCACCATAGAGGGTACTCTGTTATCAAAAAACGGACAAGGACCAGGTGTTTATCCACGATATCATGGAGAAAGGCATTGGGCTCCATTGCCAAAAAAACGGACAGGGGGGCCCAATGCTCCGGGGTCCACGACCACAAATATACAGGGCAGTGGAGGAACCCAGCAACACCATCAGGGTAGTGCCCAGGACACATTATCCATCAGATCTCTCATCAGACAAACCAGAGGGAGTGCAGGATTGACATCTGAGCCTCCGCCAGAGCAGTACCAACTCCAGAGATGGGAGTTCAAATCATTCCGACAGGAGTAAAAGGACCTCTTCCCAAAGGAACAGTAGGCTTATTGTTAGGACGCAGTTCTTCTACTCTAAAAGGACTTATGATAAGTCCTGGAGTAATTGATCCCGATTATGAAGGTGAAATAAAAATTATAGCCAGTTCTCCAAAGGGTATATCAGTAATTTCACCAGGAGATAGAATAGCACAGTTATTAAAAATACCCAGCCTACATGATAAATTTCCAGTCGTACTGTAGAAAGAGGTTCCAGGGGATTAGGCTCCACAGGTGTAGATTGGGCTATGCTGTCTTTAAATTTAGATTCTCGCCCCATGCTAAAACCAAATATTCAAGGACATGAATTTAATGGGCTGGATACAGGTGCAGACCTTAGCATCATATCTCGTCAAGAATGGCCAAAATGGGGCTGGAGATGTGGCTTAAGCGGTAGCGCGCTCGCCTGGCATGCGTGCGGCCCGGGTTCGATCCTCAGCACCACATACAAACAAAGATGTTGTGTCCGCCAAATACTAAAAAATAAAAATATTAAAAAAAAAAAGAATGGCCAAAACGTTGGCCATTACAACAGGCCACTCAAACGCTTCGAGGCCTAGGAGTGGTGACTAATCCCCATAGAAGTGCAGTGGTATTAGATCGGAAGGATCCTGAAGGATGTGAAGGAACTATACAGCCATATGTATTGGATCATCTTCCCATAAATTTATGGGGACGAGATGCCCTAGATCAATTAGGACTAACATTAACAAATAACATCGATCCAAATGTGCCCACTATTAGGGCTAGACAAGGTTTTAGGAAAGGAAAAGGATTAGGAGAAAAAGGACAAGGTATAGTGGCACCAATACAAATAGATCAAGGAACAGACAGACATGGATTGGGTTTTCAGGAGGGGGTCACTGAGACAATAAAAATTACTCGGAAATCAGAAAGACCAGTATGGGTTCCTCAGTGGCCCCTGACTAAAGAAAAGATACAAGCAGCCCATGACCTGGTCAAACAACAATTAGCGGAAGGACATATACAACCTTCTGTATCTCCCTAAAACACTCCCATTTTTGTCATAAAAAAGAAATCTGGTAAATGGAGATTATGGCAAGATTTAAGAGCCATTAATAATGAGATGGTTATTGTGGGACCTGCTCAATCGGGGATTCCTCAATTGTCTGCTTGACCAAAAACCTGGTATGTTTTAGTTATAGATATTAAAGATTGTTTTTTTTTTTTAATTCCAATTCATCCTGAGGATAGTCCATGTTTTGCATTTACTATCCCTGCACTGAATCATGAAGGTCCTGATCAGAGATATGAATGGATAGTACTCCCTCAAGGGATGGCTAACAGCCCAACTATGTGTCAAATTTATTAACAAAGCAATCCAGCCACTTAGAAATCAAAATCCTGAACTACAAATATTTCACTATATGGATGATGTATTATTAGCACACAAAGCTAAAAACACATTGCTAGAATGTTATGCCACACAAACTTATTAAAAAATTATAATTTCGAGATAGCAATAGATAAAGTACAATTAAATTTTCCAATTAATTATTTAGGACTTCTATTATCCTCAACCATGGTCCATCCACCAAAAATTCAAATACGAGTAGATCGACTCAAATCACTAAACGACTTTCAGAAGTTATTAGGAGACATAAATTGGATAAGGCCTTATCTAGGTATACCAACAGGAGAGTTGGGACCTTTATTTGATATCCTAAAAGGTCCATCAGATCCAAATTCACCCTGCATGTTAATGCATGAAGCAAGAAAGACATTAA